TCAACACTCCTCCATGTATCACTGGTCTTGTTCAACACTCCACCATGTATCACTGGTCTTGTTCAACACTCCTCCATGTATCACTGGTCTTGTTCAACACTCCTCCATGTATCACTGGTCTTGTTCAACACTCCTCCATGTATCACTGGTCTTGTTCAACACTCCTCCATGTATCACTGGTCTTGTTCAACACTCCTCCATGTATCACTGGTCTTGTTCAACACTACACCATGTATCACTGGTCTTGTTCAACACTCCACCATGTATCACTGGTCTTGTTCAACACTCCTCCATGTATCACTGGTCTTGTTCAACACTCCTCCATGTATCACTGGTCTTGTTCAACACTCCACCATGTATCACTGGTCTTGTTCAACACTCCACCATGTATCACTGGTCTTGTTCAACACTCCACCATGTATCACTGGTCTTGTTCAACACTCCTCCATGTATCACTGGTCTTGTTCAACACTACTCCATGTATCACTGGTCTTGTTCAACACTCCTCCATGTATCACTGGTCTTGTTCAACACTCCTCCATGTATCACTGGTCTTGTTCAACACTCCTCCATGTATCACTGGTCTTGTTCAACACTCCACCATGTATCACTGGTCTTGTTCAACACTCCTCCATGTATCACTGGTCTTGTTCAACACTCCACCATGTATCACTGGTCTTGTTCAACACTCCTCCATGTATCACTGGTCTTGTTCAACACTCCACCATGTATCACTGGTCTTGTTCAACACTCCACCATGTATCACTGGTCTTGTTCAACACTCCACCATGTATCACTGGTCTTGTTCAACACTCCTCCATGTATCACTGGTCTTGTTCAACACTCCTCCATGTATCACTGGTCTTGTTCAACACTACACCATGTATCACTGGTCTTGTTCAACACTCCTCCATGTATCACTGGTCTTGTTCAACACTCCTCCATGTATCACTGGTCTTGTTCAACACTCCACCATGTATCACTGGTCTTGTTCAACACTCCACCATGTATCACTGGTCTTGTTCAACACTACACCATGTATCACTGGTCTTGTTCAACACTCCTCCATGTATCACTGGTCTTGTTCAACACTCCACCATGTATCACTGGTCTTGTTCAACACTCCTCCATGTATCACTGGTCTTGTTCAACACTACACCATGTATCACTGGTCTTGTTCAACACTCCACCATGTATCACTGGTCTTGTTCAACACTCCACCATGTATCACTGGTCTTGTTCAACACTCCACCATGTATCACTGGTCTTGTTCAACACTCCACCATGTATCACTGGTCTTGTTCAACACTCCACCATGTATCACTGGTCTTGTTCAACACAACACCTGCTGCATTAAGGAAAGAAATGAAAATGAGGAAAGGCTGCGTGAACTGCACCTCACGTCGCTGGAAGACAGAAGATCCTGGGAAGACATGATCACCACATACAAAATTCTCCATGGAATTGACAGGGTGAACAAGGATGGATTATTTAACACGGGTGGTACACGAACAAGGGGACACAGGTGGAGACTGAGTACCCAAATGAGCCACAGAGACGTTAGAAAGAACTTTTTCAGTGTCAGAGTAGTTAACAGATGGAATACATTAGGCAGTGATGTGGTGGAGGCTGACTCCATACACAGTTACAAATGTAGATATGATAGAGCTCGAGGGAGTATGTTTTTTAAAATATACTAGAAAACTACATTTTTTTGTAGAAATCCACAAGGGCCTCCTGATCAGGGTTCGAACCTACGCCCGGGATGTTCCCAGATCATCCCATGTGTGTAGGTTCGATCCCTCATCACAGCCCCGTATGGATTTGTTCCTAAGTTATAACCCGAGTTTAACCTTTTATACACGTTTGCGAATTTCTACACTTGGCAAACCCCAAAATTAGCGAACCTCGTTACATAAGGAAACCGGCTTCTTGTGGTGTTATTGTGAAGTGAGAAAGAGGTGTGAATCGTGTCATTTAACGCCATAGTAAAACTGCGAGGCGAGCGTAGGCGTCCACATTTGTTAGAATCTCGCCTCTTGACTTCTACTCTTGACTTGCTCTTAATGCTGGGAGTTATAATGTGTGCTCTTGTCTGGTGCTCTTATTAATAGTACCGCCCACACCAGGTTTACGGTGCTAGTTATGATCTTATAACGCCAAGCTCCGACCTCTTATATATAAGTGGTTTTTTGGGTGTGTATCTTTTTTTAAGCTGGGGCGTTTGTGGTGTTATCACAGCGGGAGATATATCCAGGGCGCGTGTCTGGGTGTAGATCACCAGGGGCCAGATTCACGAAAGCACTTGCGCAAACACTTACGAACGTGTACATCTTTCCTCAATCTTTGACGGCTTTAGTTACATTTATTAAACAGTGTACAAGCATGAAAACTTGCCAATCAACTGTTGTTATTGTTATAAACAGCCTCCTGGTGCTTCGGAGCTCATTAACTGTTTAATAATTGGAAACAAAGCCCTCAAAGATTGAGAAAAGATGTACAGGTTCGTAAGTGTTTGCGTAAGTGCTTTCGTGAATCTGGCCCCTGGAGTTCTTTCACGGCATGAAAGCGTGGGTGGTGTCGGCGGGGTGGTGTGTGAGCGCCATCTGTTAGTCGCAGCAGGGACTACAGCAGCTCACTTAGTTGTGATTTACACCAACAGATGGCGGTGTCCGTCTCTCTGGTGGCGGGAAACGCTGTTCTTCGGCGCCTCTTCTGACCCTCTCCCCCCCCCCCCCCCCCCGGGTTTATAATACTCGCGTTTCTTAATAACTCAAAGCAACCCCTAATTTTCAGATGCGCGCTTGTTTGTCTAACGAGACTAACATGTTGCAAACTACTCACTTTATACCTTGCCATAGTGTCATAGTTGGCGTCTACGGCGCCGTGGTACAACGTTCACTGTTGAACTTTTGAAGTTTGAATTATTATTCAACATCTGCAACAAACTACATATGGTTTATGTTTGGTTTAAATGGATATATATATATATATATATATATATATATATATATATATATATATATATATATATATATATATATGTCGTACCTAGTAGCCAGAACTCACTTCTCAGCCTACTATGCAAGGCCTGATTTGCCTAATAAGCCTAGTTTTCATGAATTAATGTTTTTTCGACAACCTAACCTAACCTAACCTAACCTAACCTAACCTAACCTACCTAACCTAACCTAACCTAACGTTTTCGGCTACCTAACCTAACCTAACCTATAAAGATAGGTTAGGTTAGGTTAGGTAGGGTTGGTTAGGTTCGGTCATATATCTACGTTAATTTATAACTCTAATAAAAATAAATTGACCTCATACATAATGAAATGGGTAGCTTTATCATTTCATAAGAAAAAAATTAGAAAAAAACCTAACCTATATATAATTCAGGAAAAAAAAGCTAGGTTGGCTTATTAGGCAAATCGGGCCTTGAATAGTAGGCCAAAAATAGTAGTGAGTTCTGGCTACTAGGTACGACATATATATATATATATATATATATATATCCAATTGCCTTATAGGATGTGTTCTAGCATGCCAATATAAATTAATTACATTATATGCCTTCTTAGCTTTTAAAAGTTTCCTAAGTTCCAGGTTCGAATAATGGCTGGGGCAGAAACAGTTTGGCAGCGTTTTCTTTTACCTGATGCCTCCGTTCACCTAGCAGTAAAGAAGTGCCTGGGATTTAGACAGCTATTGTGGCCCGCATCCTCAGGTAGTTAGTAAGTGACCTAATAGTTAGAAATACGCACATGTGACACACCACACACCTGACACACCACACATGTGACACAACACACATGTGATTAGCACACATGTGACACACCACACACCTGACACACCACACATGTGACACAACACACATGTGATATAGCACACATGTGACACACCACACACCTGACACACTCACTCGCTCTGTCACAAAATCCGGGGAGGATTGACTGGGAACCAATCTGTAACTGTTCTTCCTTATTCACCCATCAACAACAGGGTATATACGTGGTTGTAGATTGGCGGGTTGTGAGTGTGGCAGGGAAAGCAAGCAAGCAGGCAGGGATAAGACTGACTATGAGGTGAGGGAAGCTGGAGGCTCACGGGCCCACGTGCAGGAGTCTGAAGGTGTCTGCATCTGTACCCACCTGTGTGTGTGTGTGTGTATTCACCTAGTTGTATTCATCTAGTTGTCCTTGCGTTGCGGGGGTTGAGCTCTGGCTCTTTGGTCCCGCCTCTCAACTGTCAATCAACTGGTGTACAGATTCCTGAGCCTACTGGGCTCTATCATATCTACATTTGAAACTGTGTATGGAGTCAGCCTCCACCACATCACTGCCTAATGCATTCCATCCGTTAACTACTCTGACACTGAAAAAGTTCCTTCTAACGTCTCTGTGGCTCATGTGGGTACTCAGTTTCCACCTGTGTCTCCTGGTTCGCGCCCCACCAGTGTTGAATAGTTTATCCTTGTTTATCCGGTTGATTCCCCTGAGGATTTTGTAGGTTGTGATCATGTCTCCCCTTACTCTTCTGTCTTCCAGTGTCGTAAGTACATTTCCCGCAGCGTTTCCTCGTAACTCATGCCTCTTTGTTCTGGGACTAGTCTAGTGGCATACCTTTGGACTTTCTCCAGCTTGTGTGTGTGTTTTTTAGCCAATTTTCAGACCAACTCCTCAGGCCATTTTGTTATTTTATGAAATATTCTTTTGACATACTGTGAACGGGATGTGGTGTAGTACCGACCCTTTGTGGTAACACTCAAATTGCATCTATCCATTCTGATTTAGACCTATTGTCTTATGTATGACCCTCTGTCCTGCGTGACAGTGAATACTAGCATTATCCTCAATTTAATAAGACTATCAAAATCCTCAGATTAGGCAAAATTGTAATTAATTTTGTCAATAAAGATGTTAATAATAATATAATCCATTCTGATGCTTCCTATCTCACAGTGACTCTTTGGTTTCCTTCCTGAAGAGTGCTCCTCTCACCCATCTTGGCAGTTTGGTCTTGAAGAGTGCTCCTCTCACCCATCTTGGCAGTTTGGTCTTGAAGAGTGCTCCTCTCACCCATCTTGGCAGTTTGGTCTTGAAGAGTGCTCCTCTCACCCATCTTGGCAGTTTGGTCTTGACCAGATTCACTACATCTTGCTTCTCTACTCTCAATTGTGTGAGTAGAGAAGAGTAGAGTCTGAGGTCTTGTGTGATTATAGCTGTGTTAAAAGCTTTCTGACACTAAAGGCAGTCGGCCCATCTCTCTTCCTGGTTGTCGTAAAACTCTACACAGTTGGTCACGCTGGACTTCTCTTCGCTGAATTCATGATGATGTTTAGAGATAACATTCAACTCTTTCTTAAGTGTTCTGTGAATCTCCTTTTTATCAATATCACTCGTACCTGCCACTGGGGAGGAATGGGGGGGGGGGGGGTATATATTGGCACTACATGGGTCGTTTTTTAAGTCTCTGGTAGTTCCCCTCTTTTTTCACTCAAGTGAGGTTTTGGAAACTACAGTAAGGCATCGAACCGGACAATACCTGTGTGTTTGTGTGTGTGTGTGTGTGTGTGTGTGTGTGTACTCACCTAGTTGTACTCACCTAGTTGTGTCTGCAGGATCGAGCATTGACTCTTGGATCCCGCCTTTCGAGCATCGGTTGTTTACAGTGTGTGTGTGTGTGTGTGTGTGTGTGTGCACGTGCGTGTGCGTGTGTGTGTGTGTACTCACCTAGTTGTACTCACCTAGTTGTGTCTGCAGGATCGAGCATTGACTCTTGGATCCCGCCTTTCGAGCATCGGTTGTTTACAGTGTGTGTGTGTGTGTGTGTGAGTGCACGTGCGTGTGCGTATGCGCACCGTATTTGCTATAACTCCTACTAGTAACAAGGTTGTCAGCGAGAGGCCGCTGACGGTGGTTACGCGACACCTAACAACCCTCCACCTACCTTAATCACCCAGCTTAATCCAAGAGTTAGTGTAGACGAACAAGAATGGTGAAATATAGTGAGGCGCCAGGCCGCGTCTGGCCCCTTTGATGGTGATGTTTGTTGTGATACTCGAGGGCTGAGTACTCGTACTCGAGGGGTGAGTACTCGTACTCGAGGGCTGAGTACTCGTACTCGAGGGCTGAGTACTCGTACTCGAGGGCTGAGTACTCGTACTCGAGGGCTGAGTACTCGTGCTCGAGGGCTGAGTGTTACCTTATTCTCAACTCCCCCGAATGTAGCAGTGTCTTCTGCACAATGGTCCAGTTAGTGGAGGATATCTTGCAAGGAACTGGCTTGCCACCTCTCTGTAAATCACGCCGATAGTAAATCATGATTTACGGTGTAAAACGTGAGTCAGTGAGTCAACATGAGTCAGTGAGTTAACGTGAGTCAACATGAGTCTGTGAGTCAACTTCAGTCAGTGAGTCAGCATCAGTCAGTGAGTCAACATGAGTCAGTGAGTGAGTTAAGTCGCAGGTGACTTGATAAGTTAATCTTTGTGAGCAAATTGGCTAATTGGATGGTGTGAGAGGTCCATGAGTCAAGGGGTGAGTGAGTGGGTGAGTAGGGAAGGTCGTGTACTCACCTAGTTGTGCTTGCGGGGGGGTTGAGCTTGTGCTCTTTGGTCCCGCCTCTCAACTATCAATCAATCAATCAACTGTCACTAACTAACTTACTCCTGTGTGGTGAGACAATTGTCTTGCCGAACGTGTCTTTAGAGCAAGCTTTATAATTAATATATAAAATATTAAACATTTCATGTATTAATTAATTTAATATTTTACATAGCGAATTAATTAAATATTTAATAAGATATATATATATATATATATATATATATATATATATATATATATATATATATATATATATATATATATATATATATATATATATAATCATTTCTACAAGAGTATTGGAACGTAGTCTTAATAGAGGAGGGGGGGGGGGGTGACAGGAAGACCAGGGGGGGGGGGGGGAAGGGGTGTTAAGCGCCCTGGGCTTTACAACAGATAACTCAAACGATTTTATTTTACGATTCTAACATACGGGTGGCGGCAGCTGCGAATATTAGACCCCGTAAATTCTGGGGCTGTGTGTACAGATTTACACCTTGCAATAATGTTATGTTGGAGCAGCAGGAGTGATCGCCGGGTGAGGCCAGGGTGTGGATGGGTGCTCGTGGGGGGTGGGGGGGGGCATAGTCTAGGGGGTATAAATCCCCCCCCCCTTTGCCTTAAGGGGGGGGGGGAGGAGGAGGATTTATAGGTCAAAATGTGTTGTAGTATTTAAGGGGGTTAGGATGCTGTGGCTGATTTAGTTCATCGTTTTCTATCCGTTGTGATATTTGGAGGGGGGGGGGTTAGGGTCATGTTGATCTGTGATAGTGATAGATATTTTAGACTAGGTCAGGGTTAGGGGTCAAATGTTTATGTATAATAGGTTAAGATAGGGGAGGCAACCTTTGGCACACGTGCCGGTAATGGCATGCAAGAGGCTCATTTTTTGTTTGTGCCGGCTCGCTAAGGCGTGGGATCACCTTAAAAAATAAATAAATAAGTATCCAACTGCTTCACTGAATCGTACGTAAAATAAAATTTTATTAAGTAGAGTGTTACCAAATCAAAATGCAATAAGAAAAACGCACTGACAACAGTTTTACTAAAAATAAGTAATAAGAAAAACAAAGAAATAAGATATTGGCCAACATGATGTGTCTGTAATATATACTGACGGACAGGTTTTGTCCCGTTCAGTTGCCGCCTGACTGTCCGGGCGGGTGCACGTCGCCTGGGCTCCTGCACCGTCACTCGATGTACACTCATAATTGTACTCATTATTGGGTTTACTTGTCCACGAGGCGACCTTCCCCACTCATGGTGGGTGTCTCCACAGACAGAGAGATTAATGGTGAGATTTTTTTAGCTGCATAATATTTATTACTAATAAGGGGATTATTAAAACTTCAACCAAATAATATTTTTAATTAAAACTATTGTTTACTCTTTTGTTGATGTGAGAAATTCCGACTTTAAAGGCACGAAATAATACCATTTATTTATATTTATAGGTAGCAACGTTGCACGTTGAAACGTTGCACGTTGAAACGTTGGCGTTGAAACGTTGGCGTTGGGTGCATAAAATATTGCTGGCGGCGCCCATGAGGAAGACGCTAGCCTGGAAAATTACGACATTGATATGACGGTCACAGATTTTGGAGGATGAGTCGATAAACAGAGGGAATGAGAGAGAGGGGAATGATAACCGTTGGGGATAACCAAATGATGGGAAGGGAGGGAGGTGGGGGTGGGGGAATAGGGTTGTAGGGGGGGATATCCCTTAGGGGGGGGGAGGTGTTAAACGCCTGCCGGTGAGGGTGGGGGTCTACTGTCTGCCAGTGGGGGTCTACTGTCTGCCGGTAAGGGGGGGGGGTCTACTGTCTGCCAGTGGGGGGTCTACTGTCTGCCGGTGGGGGGGGGTCTACTGTCTGCCGGTGGGGGGGGGGTCTACTGTCTGCCAGTGGGGGGTCTACTGTCTGCCGGTGGGGGGGGGTCTACTGTTTGCCAGTGGGGGGGTCTACTGTCTGCCGGTGGGGGGGGTCTACTGTTTGCCAGTGGGGGGGTCTACTGTCTGCCGGTGGGGGGGGGTCTACTGTCTGCCAGTGGGGGTGTACTGTCTGCCGGTGGGGGGGTCTACTGTCTGCCGGTGGGGGGGTCTACTGTTTGCCAGTGAGGGGTCTACTGTCTGCCGGTAGGGGGGGTCTACTGTTTGCCAGTGGGGGGTCTACTGTCTGCCGGTGGGAGGGTCTACTGTCTGCCAGTGGGGGTCTACTGTCTGCCGGTGGGGGGGGGTCTACTGTTTGCCAGTGGGGGGTCTACTGTCTGCCGGTGGGAGGGTCTACTGTCTGCCAGTGGGGGGTCTACTGTCTGCCGGTGGGGGGTCTACTGTTTGCCAGTGGGGGGTCTACTGTCTGCCGGTGGGGGGGGGTCTACTGTTTGCCAGTGGGGGGGGGTCTACTGTCTGCCGGTGGGGGGGTCTACTGTCTGCCAGTGGGGGTGTACTGTCTGCCGGTGAGGGGGTCTACTGTCTGCCGGTGGGGGGTATACTGTTTGCCAGTGGGGGGTCTACTGTCTGCCGGTGGGGGGGTCTACTGTCTGCCGGTGGGGGGGTCTACTGTCTGTCGGTGGGGGGGTCTACTGTCTGCCGGTGGGGGGGTCTACTGTCTGCCAGTGGGGGGTCTACTGTCTGCCGGTGGGGGGTCTACTGTCTGCCGGTGGGGGGGGGTCTACTGTCTGCCGGTGGCGGGGGGGGTCTACTGTCTGCCAGTGGGGGGTCTACTGTCTGCCGGTGGGGGGGGGTCTACTGTCTGCCGGTGGGGGGGGGGGTCTACTGTCTGCCAGTGGGGGGTCTACTGTCTGCCGGTGGGGGGGGTCTACTGTCTGCCGGTGGTGGGGTCTACTGTCTGCCGGTGGGGGGGTCTACTGTCTGCCGGTGGGGGGGGTCTACTGTCTGCCGGTGGGGGGGTCTACTGTCTGCCGGTGTGGGGGGGGTCTACTGTCTGCCAGTGGGGGGTCTACTGTCTGCCAGTGGGGGGTCTACTGTCTGCCAGTGGGGGGGGTCTACTGTCTGCCGGTGGGGGGGTCTACTGTCTGCCAGTGGGGGGTCTACTGTCTGCCGGTGGGGGGGGGTCTACTGTTTGCCAGTGGGGGGTCTACTGTCTGCCGGTTGGGGGGGTCTACTGTCTGCCAGTGGGGGTCTACTGTCTGCCGGTGGGGGGTCTAATGTTTGCCAGTGGGGGGTCTACTGTCTGCCGGTGGGGGGGTCTACTGTTTGCCAGTGGGGGTCTACTGTCTGCCGGTGGGGGGGGTCTACTGTCTGCCGGTGGGGGGCGGGTCTACTGTCTGCCGGTGGGTGGTCTACTGTCTGCCGGTGGGGGGGACTACTGTCTGCCGGTGGGGGTCTACTGTCTGCCGCCCTCAACACCTGTACCCCCCACCCCTCAACACCTGTACCCCCCACACCCTCAACACCTGTATACCCCCACACCCTCAACACCTGTACCCCCCACACCCTCAACACCTGTACCCCCACCCTCAACACCTGTACCCCCACCCTCAACACCTGTACCCCCCACCCCCTTAACACCTGTACCCCCACCCTCAACACCAGTACCCCCCCACACCCTCAACACCTGTACCCCCAACACACCCACCTCAACACCTGTACCCCCCACCCCCCTCAACACCTGTTCCCCCCACCCCCCTCAACACCTGTTCCTCCCAAAATAAACGAACCATCTGGTAATTAACGCAACAAACAAGCCATAAGACAGCTTCGCACCCAAACAAGTCTTGTCGCTCAGTAGTCCAAACAACTCACTGTTTACACCTAATTGGGCAGTTCTGGAGGCAAACAGCTCATTATAGGTAGTTGGCCGTCCAAACAAGCGGTTATGGGTCGTTACAACGTGTCCCCAACACACTTTATCTTTACCAGTAAATAAAGCAGTGTTGCTTTATTTGTTTTGCTGAGTTAAACTTAAGGGGCCTGTGGTGAAGTGGCTTTATTGGGGCTCTGTGGTGCTTTATTATGTGGGCTCTGTGGGGCTTTATTTTGGGGGCTCAGTGGGGCTTTATTTTCGGGGCTGTGTGGTGCTTTATTTTGGGGTCTCTGTGGTGCTTTATTTTGGGGGCTGTGTGGTTCTTTATTTTGGGGCTCTGTGGTGCTTTATTGGGGCTCTGTGGTGCTTTATTTTGGGGCTCTGTGGTGCTTTATTTTGGGGCTCTGTGGTGCTTTATTGGGGCTCTGTGGTACTTTATTGGGGCTCTGGTGCTTTATTGGGGCTCTGTGGTGCTTTATTTTGGGGCTCTGTGGTGCTTTATTGGGGCTCTGTGGTACTTTATTGGGGCTCTGGTGCTTTATTGGGGCTCTGTGGTACTTTATTGGGGCTCTTTGGTGCTTTGTTAGGGCTCTGTTTTACTTTATTGGGGTTCTGTGGTACTTTATTGGGGCTCTGTGGTACTTTATTGGGGCTCTCGTGGTGCTTTATTGGGGCTCTGTGGTGCTTTATTGGGGCTCTATGGTGCTTTATTGGGGCTCAATGGTGCTTTATTTTGGGAACACTGTGGTGCTTTATTGGGCCTCTGTGGTACTTTATTGGGGCTCTGTGATGCTTTATTGGGGCTCTGTGGTGCTTTATTTGGGGGCTCTGTGGTGCTTTATTTGGGGCTCTGTGGTGCTTTAATTTGGGGGTTGTGTGGTGCTTTATTTGGGGCTCATTGGGGCTTTATTGGGGCTCTGTGGTGCTTTATTGGGGCTCTGTGGTGCTTTATTGGGGCTCCGTGGTGCTTTATTGGGGCTCTGTGGTGCTTTATTGGGGCTCTGTGGTACTTTATTGGGGCTCTGTGGTGCTTTGTTGGGGCTCTGTGGTACGTTATTGGGGCTCTGTGGTACTTTATTGGGGCTCTCGTGGTGCTTTATTGGGGATCTGTGGTGCTTTATTGGGGCTCTGTGGTGCTTTATTGGGGCTCTGTGGTGCTTTATTTTGGGGACTCTGTGGTGCTTTATTGGGGCTCTGTGATACTTTATTGGGGCTCTGTTGTGCTTTATTGGAGGCTCTGTGGTGCTTTATTTTGGGGCCTTGTGGTGCTTTATTTTGGGGGCTCTGTGGTGCTTTATTGGGGCTCTGTGGTGCTTTATTGAGACTCTGTGGTGCTTTATTGGGGCTGTGGTGCTTTATTGGGGCTCTGTGGTGCTTTATTGGGGCTCTGGTGCTTTATTGGGGCTCTGTGATACTTTATTGGGGCTCTGTTGTGCTTTATTGGGGCTCTGTGGCGCTTTATTGGGGCTCTGGTGCTTTATTGGGGCTCTGTGGTGCTTTATTGGGGCTCTGTGGTGCTTTATTGGGGCTCTGTGGTGCTTTATTGAGACTCTGTGGTGCTTTATTGGGGCTGTGGTGCTTTATTGGGGCTCTGTGGTGCTTTATTGGGGCTCTGGTGCTTTATTGGGGCTCTGTGGTGCGTTATTGGGGCTCTGTGGTGCTTTATTTTGGGGGCTCTGTGGTGCTTTATTTTGGGGGCTCTGTGGTGCTTTATTGAGACTCTGTGGTGCTTTATTGGGGCTGTGGTGCTTTATTGGGGCTCTGTGGTGCTTTATTGGGGCTCTGTGGTGCTTTATTGGGGCTCTGTGGTGCTTTATTGAGACTCTGTGGTGCTTTATTGGGGCTGTGGTGCTTTATTGGGGCTCTGTGGTGCTTTATTGGGGCTCTGGTGCTTTATTGGGGCTCTGTGGTGCGTTATTGGGGCTCTGTGGTGCTTTATTTTGGGGGCTCTGTGGTGCTTTATTTTGGGGGCTCTGTGGTGCTTTATTGACGGTCTGTTGTTGTTGACGGGTGCCATGTTGACGGGTACCGTGTTGACGGGTACCGTGTTGACGGGTACCATGTTGATGGGTATCATGGTGACGGGTACCATGGTGACGGGTACCATGGTGACGGGTACCATGATGACGGGTACCATGTTGACGGGTACCATGTTGACGGGTACCATGATGACGGGTACCATGGTGACGGGTACCATGGTGATGGGTACCATGATGACGGGTACCATGATGACGGGTACCATGTTGACGGGTACCATGTTGACGGGTACCATGATGACGGGTACCATGTTGACGGGTACCATGTTGACGGGTACCATGATGACGGGTACCATGTTGACGGGTACCATGTTGACGGGTACCATGGTGACGGGTACCATGATGACGGGTACCATGATGACGGGTACCATCATGACGGGTACCATGTTGACGGGTACCATGGTGACGGGTACCATGTTGACGGGTATCATGTTGACTGGTATCATGATGACGGGTACCATGTTGCCGGGGGGGCGGGTCCGAGACATTGGTGCTACATGACTGGCTGAGACCCCCTGGACCCCTATAGCGCCCCCTGGACCCCACAGCGTCCCCTGGACCCCACAGCGCCCCCTGGACCCCACAGCGCCCCCTGGACCCCACAGCGCCCCCCCCCCCTGAACCAAACAACGCCCCCTGTGGTGGTGGGGGTCCACGACCCCTGGGAGGTGTGTATCGGAACATAATAACTCTTGGGACACTCGGGGGATCGAACTTCGCGCCAGGAAGGTTATAAGAGACCATCCTGGTTACGGCGGTGGTGATGAAGGGACACCTGGGCCGAGGGGTCACCGCTCCCCCGGGGGGGGGGGGGGGTGTTGATCACTATGGGGGTGCTGGGCCCCACAATGGCCTCCGAGGCCCTGCTGATTGGTCTCTCACTCAGCCTCAACACCTTACACCAGATTACACCTCAGATTGATAGTTTGGGGGGGGGGACGAGGACACTGGGGGGGGGGGGGAGGGGGTTGGCAGGCCAACCTGCCACTTGCCGTAAGACTGTCAAGGATATTGACACCGATATATATATATATATATATATATATATATATATATATATATATATATATATATATATATATATATATATATGTCGTACCTAATAGCCAGAACGCACTTCTCAGCCTACTATTCAAGGCCCGATTTGCCTAATAAGCCAAGTTTTCATGAATTAATGTTTTTTCGTCTACCAAACCTACCTAACCTAACCTAACCTAGCTTTTTTTGGCTACCTAGCCTAACCTTACCGATAAATATAGGTTAGGTTAGGTTAGGTAGGGTTGGTTAGGTTCGGTCATATATCTACGTTAATTTTAACTCCAATAAAAAAAAATTGACCTCATACATAGAGAAAAGGGTTGCTTTATCATTTCATAAGAAAAAAAATATAGTAAATATATTAATTCAGGAAAACTTGGCTTATTAGGCAAATCGGGCCTTGAATAGTAGGCTGAGAAGTGAGTTCTGGCTACTAGGTACGACATATATATATATATATATATATATATATATATATATATATATATATATATATAATATATATAGTGCTTGAGAGGACACAAACACAGTGGCCTCCTTACCAGAGCCTCAGATATTGACACCAAGTAAAGCATCCAGCACTTCCACAAATATTATAACATCATTTTTATTTGCCAACATTCTGGGTATAAAAACATGCAAACCTAACAAAGTTTATTTCATAAATGGTCTCCTTCATGAGGCAATTGCAGTGTTTGCAGCCCTAACGGAAACTCACACCAAGGACTACCATGATGGGGAAATAAGGATCTCAGAGTACAATCTTTTCAGATGTGATAGGAAACACCGGCTTCAGGGTGGGGTCAGCCTCTACATCAAAGACACACTCATCTGCACTGAGCTGCTAAACACCTCAAATGATATTGTGGAAGTGCTGATAATCAAAATAGAGATTTTAAATGTAGTTGTTGTCCTTGTATATAAGTCACCGGAGGCAAACCCTCAGCAGTTTAAAGACCAACTAATGAAAATAGAACACTGCTTGGAAAACCTCACAAATCCAGCTCCGAACATCATCCTGCTTGGGGACTTCAACCTACGGCACCTGAAATGGAAGCACCTGGCTAATACAGTAATATCAGAAAGAATACCAGGAAGTAGCCTAAATGAACAGGAACATGCAAATGACCTGCTACGGATGTGCGACAGGTTTGCCTTAAACCAGCAAATAGTAGAACCAACTAGGAAGAAGAACACGCTGGACCTCATTTTCACTAATAATGATGAATTCATCGGGAACATAATGATTACAAATACCTGTTACTCAGATCACAACTTAATTGAAGTCCTGATAACCATGGGGAATAGACCTTCAAAACCAGTCCCGAATCCCAATAGAGGAGAATTCAGCAAGTTCAACTTCAATAATAAAGAGATAAACTGGGAGCAAATAATCCAGGACTTCACAGAAATAAACTGGGAAGAACAGCTAGAAAATGCAAACCTGAACCAGTGCCTGGAAAAAATAAGCTCAGTAGCACTAGAAATATGTTCAAACCGCATACCCCTAAGAAAAAAGAAGAGATGCAGATTGGAACGGGAACGTCGTTCCCTATATAGGCGAAGAAAACGAATCGCGGAACAACTTGAGAGTCGCACCCTATCTCAAGAACGGCGAAGAAGGTTAAGTAGAGAAATAGAAACAATTGAATTAAAGCTACAAGAATCATACAAAACCCAGGAGAGGCAAAGAGAGCAAAAGGCCATCAGTCAAATAGAGGGAAATCCGAAATATTTTTTCTCCTATGCAAAATCAAGATCAAAAACCACATCTAGTATCGGGCCCCTGCGAAAGGGAGATGGAACTTTCACCGATGACAACAAAGAAATGAGCGAGTTACTGAGGAAGCAGTACGACTCTGTTTTCAGCGAGCCATTAAACGCACTAAAGATTGATAACCCAAATGAATTTTTCATGGATATGATACCAACATCAAATCATAAATCAGATGTCACCCTATCCCAAGGATACCTGATCAAACAGGCTGTGACTCATACGTCAGGCTGCTCGCAGCCGCGTCCAACAGCCTGGTTGACCAGCCGAGCAATGAGGAGGCCTGGTCGACAACCGGGCCGCGGGGACGCAAAGCCCCGAAATCATCTCCAGGTAACCCTCACGGTAACCCTCGTCCCCTCCTTGAGTCCACCCTCGAGCACTGTCTTCTCCACACCCCGTCACTGCCCTCTGTCCACCCACCCGTCCCCCTCAAATATTAGACTTCAAAAATCCCCACCGGACAAGTAGCGTTTGTCCGTGATCACAGCGGCTCAGGAACAGTCGCGTTTTCTATGCGGGCGTCGGTAGGTTAGAGTCGGTTAGGTTAGGTTCGCGCGTAGTTTTTTTTAGGACGTCGTTTCAAGCCCGTTGTGGACACAAGTCGAGCCTGGCCTCGGGCCGGGCTTGGGGAGTAGAAGAACTCCCAGAACCCCATCAACCAGGTATCAACCAGGTATCAAGGTGAGAAGACGGCTTGCTCGACCTCCCATATCTGCCCATATTTAAATCCCATGATTTCTTTCCTGATTGAATATGACACTGGAGCGAAGGTTTCCTTCCCACGAAGAGTATGCAGCACCCTCCTGGATGGCCAACCCAACCACCTGGACAGTCGGGGATTGAACGCCGACCTGCATGAAGCGAGACCGTCGCTTATACCGTCCAGCCCAAGCGGTTGGGTTGGCCGTCCAGGAAGGTATAGTGCTCAAGAAACACAAACTGTAACTGTCTATATTTCCCTGTTGCTTATGCATAAGCAACAGGGCTCCATTAAGGAACATATAATCTCTTCCCACAACCAAACCATCGCCAGAGAAATCCTAGTAAACAACACAGAAATCATCGATAGATACAGCGATAGCAGACGGCTTGACGTTTGCGAGGCACTGCACATTAAGAAGTCAACACCAGCAATCAACAGTCAATTAATATATATATATATATATATATATATATATATATATATATATATATATATATATATATATAATGCACAGACTACCCTATTCCAGTAGCTGAAGTTTATAACTTTTTAGACACTCAACCCACCAGGAGACTCGAACACTGGCCAACAAGGTGGCAGTTGCATGCTGTATCCACTACGCTATACTTCAAAGCTTTGAAGTATAGCGTAGTGGATACAGCATGCAACTGCCACCTTGTTGGCCAGTGTTCGAGTCTCCTGGTGGGTTGAGTGTCTAAAAAGTTATATATATATATATATATATATATATATATATATATATATATTTATATTTATTTTAGGGGGGGGTTAGGGGGCTCTTGCGGGCTATTCATGCCCGTGCCACCTCTTGGGTGGCTTAATCGTCATCAGTCAATCGATAGATATAACCGGAGTATACTAAGGTATATATGCCACCTATACGGCTTCCAATATCGGTAAAACTTCTGAGTAAACGATCGTTAAGATGGTTTACTCATGAAATATGCAGGAGTGCAATTGGCTGGCCAGGTGCAGCCGTGTCAACACCCCCCCCCCACCCTCCCTCCTCCAACTGGTTATCCCTGCAACACGACCCGCCGGTGGGTTTACAACCAGGTATATAGCCAGTTGCTGGGTGAAGTGCTGTTGGTATTACTACTATATCACGTAATACCCCGTGTCGGGGACAGGAAGCCTGGGCTTGTCCAGGTCCCCCGGAGAGCCGTGGGTGTCAGGGTCGCCAGGTCACACACCTACCCCTGGGGGGATTGCCTAAGAGTTTGGTCCACCAGGCTGTTGCTTGGAGCGGCCCGCAGGCCCACATACCCACCACAACCTGGTTGGTCCGGCACTTTTTTTGTTTAGAAAACAGTCTAGTTTCCTCTTGAAGATGTCCACGGTTGTTCCGGCAATATTTCCTATAGTCGCTGGAAGGGTGTTGAACAACCGCGGACCTCTGATGTTTATACAGTGCTCTCTGATTGTGCCTATGGCACCTCTGCTCTTCACTGGTTCTATTCTGCATTTTCTTCCATATTTGAGATATATACAAGAGTTGTTACATTCTTGTACAGCCACTAGTACGCGTAGCGTTTCGGGCAAGTCCTTAATCCTATGGTCCCTGGAATACGATCCCCTGCCGCGAAGAATCGTTTTTTCATCCAAGTACACATTTTACTGTTGCGTTAAACAGAGGCTACAGTTAAGGAATTGCGCCCAGTAAATCCTCCCCGGCCAGGATACGAACCCATGACATAGCGCTCGCGGAACGCCAGGCGAGTGTCTTACCACTACACCACGGAGACTGCATCGTTCACTATCGTTCACTCCAGTACGTTGTTATTTTACTGTGTAGATTTGGGACCTGTCCTTCCAGTATTTTCCATGTGTATATTATTTGATATCTCTCTCGTCTCCTCCTACTACTCGTCTGATGTGCTACTAGTTCTGCTAGTGCCCTAGTAGCTAGTAGTAGTAGTAGT